AGAAGAAGAAGAAGAAGAAGAAGAAGAAGAAGAAGAAGAAGAAGAAGAAGAAGAAGAAGAAGAAGAAGGAAGAAGAAGAAGAAGAAGAAGAAGAAGAAGAAGAAGAAGAAGAAGAAGAAGAAGAAGAAGAAGAAGAAGAAGAAGAAGAAGAAGGAAGGAAAAAGGGAAAGAAATGGGGGAGAAGGAAGAAAGGACAAACAAGGCTTTTGAATTAGAGGTAAAGGAGGCAGAAGTCTCAGCAATGCAGTCTGAGCAGTTGCATGAGCAGGGGTTGAGGGTGTGTTGAAAGAGAAATAATGGATTTTGCTGAGTACCAAGTAGGAAAGGGGAGACAGAAGGAAAAGAAAAAAATAAGTACTCATTCTGAAAAGTTAAGCTTAGCTGTAAGGGCCTGTAAGCATCTGTCCTGGGAGAGGGTCTTCTAGGGTCTGGAAGCACATCTCTCATTGAGGGGATGACTGGCCCCATCTTTGTTTCTTGGGAGTGTTGTGTGTCCTTTTGACTTTGGCTTCAGGCTTGTCTCCCTGAGGGTGAAACAAGATTCTTTTCCCCTCATCTTAGGGAGGTCTCAATTTTGCTGGGACAGGGGAAGCCCTGGTTTCTACATCAAAGGTGTCAACAATCACTAACTAAGCCATTTATAAAGTGGTTTGCTGTCTGAGCTTGCTAGTTGTCTCAGAAGAGATCATCGGGTCAGAGGTCATATGTCTCAGAGGGGTCTCCAGATGTTAGAGCTACCCATGTCAGCATCAGAAAGTCATGGGTCATAAGGCTTTTACCATGAAACTGGCATCGACAAGCATTAAACTTCCAATTGGTCTGGGAAGAGCTGGCCTTAAATGACCCTTTTAATTTTCTCTTTCTGTCTAGTTATCAACATGATAACTGTTACACTGGTTCTAGACAATAGGCACTTGTACAGAGAACTGAAATCCTGGACCAAATGGCAATGTCTTGGGCACAGCAGGAGAAAGGATGTCCCTTCAGAAAGAGCAAAGGGTGAGACCCTTCCCAGAGCCTTTCAGACAGCAAAGGTGCCGTGTGGTCCATAAGAACACCTTTCTCAGAGAGGCCTATGGGAGTGGGAAATCCTGTGAAGCTGCTGTCAGGAGATGGCACTCCTGTCTCCCGTTCAGCTATTACATTTGTTTGCTTTAGGAAGAGAGATAAAACACTCATATTAGAAAAATCTCATATTAGAAAACAGTTCAGTAGAATCAAATTTGCAACAGCATTTTAGGCAAGATCAGGGGAATTCCAGTAATGGCTTCAAGCCTTGCAGAGGCAGGAACCCCAAGCGAGCATGAGAGTCTGCTGAATTTTTTAAAAGGGGTGAGTGAGACAACATTGTGAGAGCTGATGCTATGGGAGCCACAAGTATAAACATCCCCTTTAGACACGAACATAAAAAGACACCAAACCTTCCCAGGGGAAGTTGTTCTGGACTATTTCCGTCAAGAGAATGAATATTAGGTAGGACATCCAAACTCAGACTGTCCTGAAAATCAGACCCAAGCCCTTCATGTGCTAGGATTTGTTTCTCAGGTCCCAACCCCCAACTTCTCCAGATGACTGAGCCAAACACGACGGAATCCTGCAGCGCTCCTAAGCTCAGGGTTGCTGGTACAGTGCCTGGAGAGCCATTTCAGCTGTCTGTGCTGTGGCCTCTGCAGGGTCCTTCCCAGTCTCCCTTCTCATTGTTAGTGCTTAGGAGAAAACCAAGGAGAGTTGAGGTCATGACAATGACCGAGAAGACAATGAAAAAGGGAAAGAGATAGGTTAGCATTTTATCACTCACAGCTAGGAGAGATGACTCAGTGGTTAAGAGAACTGCTGCTCTTGCAGTGAACCTGGGTTGGGTTTCTAGCACCCACATCAGGAGGCTCATGGATCTGTTGCCCCTTGCTGGCCTCTGCAGGCAGGAGCACAGAGACAGACAGACAGACAGACAGACAGACAGACACACACACACACACACACACACACACACACAGAGAGAGAGAGAGAGAGAGAGACAGACAGACAGACAGACAGACAGACATACACACACACACACACAGAGAGAGAGAGAGGTTTATATGTGTACTTTTCTTAAACTAGAACAAATATTTGGAATGATACAGTAATACAGTAACAGTTATAAACTAAGAGAGATCCGCCTTTACACCTTTCCCCCAAAACACTGATAAGCAAAATAAAAAATGAAGAAGAAGCTTATAGAAAAATAAACAGTTTACAAACAAGTGACTTTTAAACCTAAGAAATGTTCTCATTGATGGCTAAGGACCAGAAATTTAAACCACGAAGACACTGATGTGTAATCACCAATAAGCATAGTTAGTTATTTAAGGGAAATATGCAATGAAGTATGCAAATGGAATATGATACTTAGAAAATATGCCAGTGAATAATTTCAAAAGTATTTATTGCCAGCCTTTGTGGTACACACCTTTAATTCTAGTAGTTGGGAGGCAGAGGCAGAAAGATTTCTGTGAGTTTGAGGACAGTCTGGTCTACATAGTGAGTTCTAGGCCAGCCAGGGCTACATAGTGAGACTCTGTTTCAAAAAAAGAAGAAACAAACAAAGAAAGAAAAATAGTATTATCATTTAATTTATTATTTAGTTAAGTGTGCTCTCACCATACATTTTGTTTTGTTGTGTAGCTCAGGACAGCCTTGACCTTGTCTGTAGTCAAAGATGGCCTTGAACTCCTGATCCTCCATGCCTGTTTCCCAGGTCCTGGGATTTCAGGAATACATCACCACATCTAGTTTACACGTTGTTGGGGAGAAAACTCGGACTTCGTGGATACTAGGCAAACATCTTCAAAAGTGAGCCTCAGCCCTGTATCTTGTTTTCTACATATTTGAACTTAATATATCTGGGTGGACAAAGTTTCAGCTGATGTCACATGCTTATGCTTATTTGAATTTGGCAGTTGCTTGCTTCTCATTTGTAACAGCATGGTCTGTGAAATAAAATGCTGTTAACCACAAATCCTGTTTCCGCGGATCACCTGCCTGCTTTGATGCCGTGGAGATGTGTGGAGGGTCAGTATATGCAGAGCAGATTCCTCCCTGGGAGATTAATTGGACAAAGTGAAAACACTAAATTCTCAATTCTGTAAGAGAAACATATTTCTTTTATTAAAGCAGCATGCCCAATATTGAGATATATGTACACAGAAGTAGTGGTCTCTTAAGGACTGTGACTTCAGCTTAAACTCCCATTAAGAACGCACGACTGGCCTCATGTCCTATGCCTTTCTGAGCCTCATGGTGCAGAGTATGCAGGCCACCTCAGCTTCCCTGTGTGTTAAAGACATTAGGGAACGGAAACTGGTAGAGAAATTGGATTTACTTACACTTTTACAAACCTGAGAAAGAGTCTTCCTTTCTCTCTCTTTGTCCTGTAAGGTGTTATAGTTTCAGAGAAAAGATGAAACAGAGACCAGAGTATACGCATGTGCTGTTTATTTGTGAGATGGATCAGTCGGTCTTCTCCCGGCAGGATGCAAACCTGGGCGCTGGACCTTTTCCATTTCTTGTTCTGGCCGGCAAGAAGACTCAGTGGGCAAGGGAACCTGTTGCCAAGCCTGATGGCCTAAATCTGATCCCCTAAGTTCACATGGGGGCAGGGAAGAATTGATTGCTGAAAGTTTTTCTCGGACCTCGAAAGGTGAGCACACATGCACACACACACACACACACACACACACACACACACACACACACACACTAATAGCATTTTTTTTAAAAGAAAAAAAAAGCAAAATTTTAAACTTGGATACGGCTTTTCTTTAAGCAACATTTCCGGTGCACTTCAGAGGATAAACAAGCCGCGTGCCGCTTATGTCGCAGGCCCAGAAAGAGGTTTCCTGAGCACAAGCTTTCGCTGATCACCTATTGTCTTCCATTGTCATCTAGTGCCGTTGTCCATTGTTCTTGCCTCCACCATTTTTTCTACTCAGATATCTAAAATTACCCAAAAATAATAATCAGAAAGACAGAATGAGTCTTTGAAACCAGAAGCATCCCAAATAAATAACTGGACCCAGCTGTTAAGGGTGTCTACCACCTTCGCTGTTGAACATCTGGGTAAAACATTTGACTACACTCTAAAATAACTACCGGCAGCCTGCGGCTGTCCAGAGACATGCGAATAACAGTGGCAGTTGGTTAGAGGGTATTTCGAGAGTTTCTGTATTGCAGAGTGGAAACTGTGTGAGGGCCGGAGGCACTTCGTGATGCCACACAATGCTCGGCGAAGGTTAGCTGCTGAATTCTAGATGGGTGGTGTTTGGGGTGGATTCTGAACCCTTCAGTTCACAGCAATAGCAACAAGAAAGGCTGAAATCTAGAGGCAGAGTCACAGACCACAGCTCATTTGGCCCAGATATGGCAGAGTGCTTCCTGCCACATTTGGTTACGCTCCTCTCTGCAGGGAATAATATTCTAGAGGGTCTTTATTCCCATCAATTTTGACAAACGTGTTTGTAATAGATTTCTTTATGTTTACAGTAAATTATAAAGTGCATAATGTCTACGTATGGTTATACATTTGTAGCATTCCAAACTTAAAAAATTTAAAGATATTCCTAGGGAACACCATTTTGTTCTTGAATTGCCAAATTATTGAAAATATCCAGAAAAAATCCAACATGTGCCTTTAAAAAAACCTCTCTGTGTCAGTGAATCCACAGGGGTTCAGACGAGTGATTTCCAAGTGTCTAGTCAGCTGCTCTGGGCATCTTCAAATTCTATTGGTTGATTATTTGGGGCTGTATTTTGTGCTCCCTGTGACTGTACAGGAGCTTAGGATTGTGTGTCTCTACAGAACCAAAAGTAGATCCACAGCATAATTCTTCTCTCACTTCATGGAATTAGAGGCAGGACTAGAGGGACTAAGGCTGACACACTAAGCTGCAGTTGTTGGGTTAAAAACTAACTCCATCCTCTTTCTCCTCACGACAACTGGCTTGCTACATGCACGACTCAGTTTCCTAGTCTGTCAATACTATCTATACCATTGCTGTAGCTAAACGAGCAATACATGACAGAACCACTGATGTCTTCCCCAGGTGCACAGAAATGGGCACAGCTAATGACAGCATCTTCAGTCATTTCATCCTTGTAGGCTTCTCTGACCGGCCCCAGCTGGAGAAGGTCCTCTTTGCGGTCATCCTGCCTGCCTATCTCCTGACCCTGCTGGGCAACAGCACCATCATTCTGGTGTCGAGGCTGGACCCACACCTGCACACTCCCATGTACTTCTTCCTCACCCACCTGTCCTTCCTGGACCTCAGCTTTACCAGCAGCTCCATCCCGCAGCTGCTCTACAACCTCAGTGGGCAGGACAAGACCATCAGCTATGTGGGCTGCGCTCTGCAGCTGGTCCTGTTCCTGGGCCTGGGGGGTGTGGAGTGCTTGTTGCTGGCCGTCATGGCCTATGACCGCTTTGTGGCCGTCTGCAAGCCCCTGCACTACATGGTGATTATGAGCCCCAAGCTCTGTGTGGGCCTGGTCTCACTGGCCTGGGGTTGCGGGGTAGCCAACTCTTTGGCCATGTCTCCAGTGACCCTCAGCTTGCCCCGCTGTGGGCGCCGCAGGGTGGACCACTTCCTCTGCGAGATGCCAGCTCTTATCAGGATGGCCTGTGTCAACACCGCTGCAGTGGAAGGCACGGTCTTCGTCCTGGCCATAGGCATTGTGCTGTCCCCCCTGGTGTTCATCTTGATCTCCTACGGCTACATCGTGAGGGCCGTGCTGCAAATCCGTTCCGCTGCAGGCCGGCAAAAGGCCTTCAATACGTGTGGCTCTCACCTCACCGTGGTCTCGCTTTTCTATGGAAATATCATCTACATGTACATGCAACCGGGGAACAGCTCCTCCCAGGACCAGGGCAAGTTCCTCACCCTCTTCTACAACATTGTCACCCCTCTCCTCAATCCGCTGATTTATACGCTCAGGAACAAGGAGGTGAAGGGGGCGCTCAGGAGGTTGCTGCTGGGTAGCAGAGAGACAAAGGAAATACCAGCTGGTTCTAGATAGAACAGAGGGAAGCTGTCCTAGTGAGGATGGCAATGAAAAAATGAGACGGAAGACAAGCTCTTAGGCAAACATTTTAATGAGACAGAAAGGGACTGAGAAAAACGTTCCACAGTGATTTGGGGAAAATTCAGGCTGCCCTGTGGCAGAGAGAAAGCAGGCGTGTTATTGAATTCTTGAAGAGTTCTGGGATTTGGTTGGTAGTCATGATGATGGGATGTGTTTTGCATTTCTTTTTGTGGTTAAAGAGGACTTTCCCATGTAAGATGCAGTTTTGGCCATTTGTCACTATAATGTCTTGGTGTTATCTGTGGTGAAATGTGTTCTCAGGGTAAGGTAGGGAGACAACAGGTGCCTTCGAGGCACTGTCAACAGCTGGGGAGAGCTACTGTGGGTAGCACACCTTAAGGCTTAGGGCATAAGTATCTATGCTGACCTGTCCCCACCTATGTTCCTACTTCAGTTTCAGGGATATGGGAGGGTCAGGCAGCCCTGGTTTGGATGTCACTCCATGCAAGGTCTTGGGTAGCATTGGCAGTACTGGGTCTGATCAACTCTTGTCTGCAAATCTCCACTGATTTGCATCTCTTCTGGGCTTCCATAAGCCTGTGTAAGCTCCCAGATCTTCTGCTTTATGAATGAACCAAATGTTGCCTGTCACCCAACCCTTCTATGCTGTTCTATGATGAACTATGAATCAATAAATCAGAGTATGCTCACTCATCTCCCTTGTTGGCTCAGCTAGGTTTAGAATCACCCAGGAGACCAAGACACCTCAGGGTGGGTCAGTGAGGGGGTTTGCAGAAGCTTGACTTTTGGGGGATGACCCACCCTGAGTGTAAGTAGCACTGTCTGATGGCTCAAAGCCCCAGACAGACCAACAGGACTAAGAAAGAGGAAACAAACAGGATGTCACAACTCCCTACCCTTTCCCGGCTGTTAGGAGGTAAGGGAAACTGCTCAATCAAGCCTTCTTGATAGGATGGACAGACACAACCACCTTTATTTATTTGTGTGTGTGTGTGTGTGTGTGTGTGCGCACACGCGTGTGTAAGCCTGTATGATTCACAGTGCATGTATGGAGGTCAGAGGATAACTTGCAAGAATCAGCTCTCTCCTTTAACAACACAGGTCCTGGAGATCCAAGTCAAGTCAAGAGCCTTGGCAGCAAGCACCTTTACCTGCTAAGACATTTTGCCAAACCTGTATTTTCCTTAATCACAAAATTGTTCCTTTGTTCACAGGAACAAAGTGCCTCTCCATGACCACCATTCAGCATTGATGTCAGCATAGTTTGATGTTTTATATTTCCCAAGTTTTCATCTAAAGCCCGTGGTGGAGTCGTGTTGAGTCTTTGCTCTGATTTGACATTCCCCTCCCCATATCTGTCATTCTGGAATAACAGAAAAGGTGACCTATGATAACAACATAGGGGGCATTAGATGAAAAGCTTTATTATGTCTCAGGTTGTTTTCATTTTGTTTGTAAGAAAAATTCCTCTTGTGTTAAGTCCTTGCCTGGCACTCCTATTGTGTAAGCTCAGTGTTTGCTTGTGGCTGGCCTAGCTACTGTGACTCCCACAATAGACTCAGAACTAAAGACAATCCCCAGCAAAATCTGCTCCCAATCCAAGATGTCTCAAGGCTCACCTTATTGCAGATATCTGTGATTCTATTGTCAAAACTCTAGTAGGGAAACAAAGGAGAATCTTTTTTCAAAATTATTTTATTTATTCCATGTGCTTTTCACATCATGTTTCTTGATCCTATTCATTCCCCATCCCTTCACTCTCCAAACCTGTACTACTCCTGAATATAACAAAATTCAGCAGAGAAAAATGGGAAAAAAGTATCACATCTTAAATTAATATTCTACATTTCCCCCGTTTTGTCTTAATAAAAAGAAAAGGTTTTAACTTAAACATAGTAAGACTATCTACAATAACAATTATAAAGTAAGAATTATGTTCACAATGTCCAATTTATTTGTGTCTGGCAAATTTGAAGAAAATCTTCCATTATTTATACTATCTTACTGAATCTAAAGTTTCATACCTAATTTACTTTCTATGATAACTAAGGAAAACTGAAACTCTAGTTGTTAGGTCTTCAACTCCATCAAAGACCCAGAAGGATATAGTATTACCTAACAATGGAGACATATTGCTGTCTAGAAAGTCATATAAAGTTTCTTTGCAATGTTGGGTCATCCACCTTCAGCCTAAAGCCCCAGAGTATCTGGCAGACTTTTCAATGAATCAGGAAATTTGAAGAACTGTCCAGCCTTGTATTGACAAAGTCCATCAGTCACTTCCTATGTGTCCTGCAGAATATCTGGCAGACTCTTCTGTAAAGCAGGAATCTTGAAGAACTGTCTCACCTTGTTTCAGCAAAGTTCAGCAGTTACTTTCCTTTGGGTCCTGCATATTCATTCTGCATAGCACAGAGTCAAGCAGTCAAGACAAAAGCAGTTTTTTGCCCAAATAGCTAATTTTGCCACAATGAAGGCAAACTCCTATGGAGTTTCTTCAATGCCCACCATCCTTTTATGAAGTAAATTGGTGCTGCCAGGAACATATGTGCCTCATAGTCATGAAAACCCCCAAGTCAACCTAAGAATAATAGGGATAGAAGAAGAAGTCCAACTCAAAAGAACAGAAAATACATTCAACAAAATCATAGAAGAAAACTTTTCCAACCTAAAGAGGGACGTGTTTATGAAAACACAAAAAACTTACAAAACACCAAATAGACTTTACCAAAAAAGGAAGTTCATTCACCACATAATAATCAAAACACTAAACACACAGAATAAAGAAATAATATTAAGAGCTGCAAAGGAAAAAAAGCCAAGTAACATATAAATGCAGACCTATCAGAATTACACCTGACTTCTCAATGGAAACAATGAAAGCCAGAAGGTCCTGGTCAGGCATTATGCAGACACTAAGAGACCATGGATGTCAGCTCAGACTACTATATTTAGCAAAGCTTTCAATCAAAATATATGGAGAAAACAAAATATTCTGTGACAAAACCATATTTAATCAATACCTATCTACAAATCCAGCTTTGCAGGAAGTACTAGAAGAAAAACTCCAACCCAAGGAAGTTAGTTACACCCATAAGAGCCAGGCAATAGATAATCCCACACCAGGAATTCCCTAAGAAGAAAAACACATACACACACAAACACACCACCAACAACACCACCACCAACAACAACAAATATTTAGAAACTAATAATCACTGGTCTTTAATATCCCTTAATATCAATGGTCCCAACTAGCCTATAAAAAGAAACAGGCTAACAGATTGGATGCAAAAGCAGAATTCATCCTTATGCTGCATGCAAGAAACACATCTCACTACAAAGACAGACATTACCTCAGATTAAAAGATTAGGAAAAGATTTTCCAATAAAATGGACCTAAGAAACAAGCTAGAATAGCTATCATACTATCTAATAAACAGACTTCAAACTAAAATTAGTTAAAAGAGACAAAAAAGGTCATTTCATATTCACCACAGGTAAAATCCATCAAGATGAAATATCAATTCTGAACATCTATGCCCTAAATACAAGGGCACTCTCATTTGTAAGAGAAACATTACTAAACGTTAAATCATACACCAAGCCCCTAATAGTGAGAGACTTCAATACCCCACTCTCATCACTAGACAGGACTGCCAGACAGAAACTTAACAGAGAAATAAAGGATCTGACAGGTGTTATGACCCAAATGGGCTTAATAAACATCTATAGAACATTTCACCCAAACACAAAAATATACCTTCTTCTCAACACCTTATGGATCCTTCTCCAAAATCAACCATATACTCGGTAACAAAGCAAATCTGAACAGATAGAAAAAAATTGGAATAACCCCTGTGTCTTCTCAGATCATCATAGATTAAAGTTAGAATTCAATAACAACTGTAATTGCAGAAAGCCTACAAACACATAAAAACTGAAAAATGCTCAACTGAATCACCACTGGGTCAAGGAAAAATTAAAGAAAGAAATTAAAGACTTCCTAAAATTCAATATAAATTATTGCACAAGCATATGGGACACAACGAAAGCAGTGCTAAAAAGAAAGTTCATAGCACTAAAGGCCTACATAAAGAAGCTAGAAAATCCTACACTAGAAAATTAAAGAACAACTGAAAGTTCTAGAACAAAAAAAAATACTCACCCAGAAGGACTAGAAGATAGGAAATAATCAAACTGAGAGCTGAAATCAACAAAATAGAAGCAAACAAACAAAAAACAGTACAAATAACCAATAAGACAAAGAACTGGTTTTTTGAGAAAATCAATCAAATAGACAAACTTTTATCCAAACTAACCAAAGGCAGAGAGAGAATACCCAAATTAACAAAATCAGAAATGAAAAAGGGGACATAACAACAGACATGGAGGAAATCCAGAAAATCATCAAGTCATACTTCAAAAACCAGTACTCCACAAAACTGTAAAACTTAAAGGAAATGGGTAATTTCCTAGACAAGTATCACATACCAAAATTAAATCAAGACCAGGTAAGCAAATTAAATGAACTATAAACAGTCATCAAAAGTCTTCCAACCAAAAAAAAAAAAAAAAAAAAAGTTCAGGACCAGATGGTTTCAGCGCAGAATTCTATCAGATTTTCAGAGAACTAATACCAATACTTTTCAAATTGTTCCACACAATAGAAATAGAAATAACATTGTCAAACTCTTTTTATGAGGCTACAATTATCCCAATACCCAAACCACACAAAGACATTACTAAGAAATAGAATTACCAACCAATCTCACTCATGAACACTGATATAGAGATATACAATAAAATACTGGCAAACTGAATCCAAGAACACATCAGAAAAATCATCTAACATGATCAAGTAGGCTTCATCCCAGAGAAGTAGGGGACGGTTCAACATATTAATATATGTCAATGTAATCCATCATATAAAAAACATATGATTATCTCATTAGATGCTGAAAATACCTTTGACAAAATTTAATATCCCTTCATGATAAAAGCCTTGGATAGCTCAGGGCTACAAGGAACATACCTAGACATAATAAAGGCAATATACAGTAAACCAACAGCCAACATCAAACTAAATAGAGAGAAAATACAAGTGATCTCCCTGGAATCAGGAAGAAGACAAGGCGGTCCATTCTTTCCATATCTATTCAATATAGTACTATAAATTCTAGCTACAGCAATAAGACAACAAAAAGGAGATCAAGGGGTTAAAAATCAGAAACAAAGTAGTCAAGCTTTCACAATTTGTTGCTGCTGATATGATGGTATACATAAGTGACCTCAAAAACTCTACCAGGAAACTCCTACAACTGATGAACACCTTCAGTAATGTAGCAAGATACAAGATTAACTAAAAAAAAAAATAGCCCTCCTCTACACAGATAATAAATGGGATAAAAAAAGAAATCAGAAAAACATCACCATTTACAATGATCACAAATAGCATAAAATATCTCGGGGTAACTCTAAGCAAACAAGTGAAAGACCTGTATGACAAGAACTTTAAATCTTTGAAGAAAGATATTAAAGAAGATATCAGAAAAAAGGAAAGATCTTCGATGCTCTTTGATATGTAGGATTTATATAGTAAAAATGGTGATCTTACCAAAAGCAGTCTATAGATTCAATGCCACACCAGCAAAATTCTTCATGGACCTCAAAAAAGAAAAAGAAAAAAACCCCACAATATTCAACTTCATATAGAAAAAACAAAAAATCCAGGATAGCCAAAACAATCCTGTACAATAAAGGAACTTCTACAGGTGTCACCATCCCAGACTTCCAACTGTACTACTGAGCTACAGGAATGAGAACAACTTGATAGTAGCATAAGAACAGACAGGAGGACCAATGAAATCAAATTGAAGACCTGGATATCAACCCACACACCTATGAACACCTGATTTTTGACAAAGAAGCTAAAATTATAAAATATAAAAAAGAAAGCATCTTCAACAAACGGTGCTGGCATAACTGGATGTTGACGTGTAGAAGAATGAAAATAGATCCTTATCTATTGCCATGCATAAAACTCAAGTCCAAATGGATCAAAGATCTCAACCTAAAGCCAACCACAATGAACCTCACAGAAGAGAAAGTGGGAAGTAGCCTTGAACACATTGGCACAGGTGTCCATTTTTTAAATATAATTCCAGTAGCACTGAGACACTCAGAGCAACAATTAATAAATGGGACCTCCTGAAACTGAAGAGCTTCTATAAAACAAAGGACACAATCAACAAGACAAAAACAGCCATCTACAGAATGGGAAAAGATTTTAACCAACCCTACATCTGACAGAGGACTGATTTTCAAAATATACAAATAACTCAAGAAACTAGATATCAAAAGAACAAATAAACCAATAAAAAAATATGACACAGATCTAAACATAGTACTCTCAATAGAATAATCTCAAATGGCCAAAAGACACTTAAGGAAATGCTCAACATCCTTAGCCATTATAGAAATGCAAATCAAAACAACTCTGAGATACCTGTCATAATGGCCAAGACAGAAAAAAAAAACCACTGATGACAACTTATGCTGGAGAGGATGCGGAATAAGGGGAACAGTCTCCCATTTCTGGTGGGAGTGCAAACTTGTACAGCCACTTTGGAAATCAGTATGGCAATTTCTCACAAAATTAGGAATCAATATACCTCAAGACCCAGCAATACTACTCTTGGGCATATACCCAAAGGATGCTCAATCATACCACAAGGGCATTTGCTCAACTCTGTTCGTAGTAGCATTATTCGTAATAGCCAGAAACTGGAAACAACCCAAATGCCCCTCAACTGAAGAATGGATAAGGAAAACATAGTACATTTATACAACGGAGTACTACTCAGCATTAAAAAAAGTGTCATCTTGAAATGTGCAGGCAAATGGACAGAACTAGAAAAAAATATAGTGAGTGAGATAACCTAGAACCAGAAAGACAAATATAATATGTGACTTTTAGGCATAAAGCAAAGAATAACCAGCCAATAGTGCACAACCCTAGAGAACTTAGACAACAAAGAAGAACTTAAGAGAGACATACATGGATCCACCTAGAAAGGAGAAAAAGATAAGATCTTGTGAGTAAATTGGGAGCATGGGGTGTGGGGGGAAGGTGTCAGGGGAGATGGGAGGGAAAAAGTCTTTAAACAAGAGTAGAAACATATATACAGAACACTGTAACAAAAATTACCTTAAATTTATAAAATATACAAAAGTCCAATCAAAATATTTTGGGGTTAATAGTTGTTTTTTAGTTTAAGGTAGATTGATAATTTATCCTGTAGTTTAAAATAGATTCAATAATTTCTTCTTTTATCTTATCATTCTTACATCCCTACTCTTTTTTTAAATGAGATCCCTGAATCTAATTTCCTTTGTTTAGTTTTTCCCCTTACTAATTCCAGTAGCAATTAATAAACAACCCCCTTAAATTATGACAAGCGTTCATAACCCACCAAATGATCAAATACCATTTACCCTAGCTCTTGTAATTATGGACACTATATTCTTAAGATTATTTCCTGCCCTTTGGGGTAATGATATCTTTATGGAATCCTGAGAAAACTGAGATATTGGCTAAGTCTTTGAGAAAACCAGCTGTAACATTTGCTGTCTGTTTCTGTGTGCTGGCAAAATGCAGAGTTTATCTAAAATCCTGGCTAAAGTAGTCTATGAGGCTGGGCTCTCTCAGTTAGCAGCTTTGAAGTTGTTCTGAGCAGTTTATAGTCCAATGCTAATCTTTGGGTGGTGCTTGTTCCCTTAATGACATTACCACAATCCTGATAGAATTGTCACTGTGGGGCTCCATCAACTATAGACTTCAAAGTTCACTGTTATAAATGGTTATGGTTCACTGCTGAAAGCTTAAACATTTTAAATGTCATATGCAGAATAGCCTTATAAATTTAGTGCTAATATTTATGCCTATGAAAAATTTCAAATAGTTGATATAAAATCAAAGGAATAGAAAAGTCCCTTAGTTTTGGTTTTCTTCTGTCACACTTCAGGGAGCTCTTCTGACATGAGACAGTGATTTTGGATTTTCCATTAACAAATGTACTTGGGTTTAGAGAATGAGAGAGTTACACTCCAACTCCAAAGCCAGCTTTAAATTATAATTGTACTGGAACTACAAAAAGACCATTTGCCTTTTATATTTATAAAGGACATCAGAAACAAAAATTTAGGAGACTTTTGAAATTTTATGCTGTTGAAAATGTACTATACCTCTAGGCCAATCTGACTCTTCAACTATCTTTTGACCTCATCAGGAAGGCTCTCCTGTTTAAATCTATTCTTTATCAATCTTGATGGTATCCACTGCTTTTGTTCTTCTGTGGAAACAAAGACAAAATCTCTTCCCCAAAATAACACATATCCTGGTTTCCATTCTAAGTTTAATACATCTTTAAAATATGTAGGTTGATTTAATTCATCAGCTTTTTCTATTATCCAGTGTCCCTCTGCAACTGTTGCTCCTTTTTCATTAGCATTTAAGAAATATAAAGTTGCTGGGCAGTGGTGGCACACACCTTTAATACCAGCACTCAGGAGGCAGGTGAATCTCTGTGAGTTCGAGGCCAGCCTAGGCTACAAGAGCTAGTTCCATGACAGGCACCAAAGCTACAAAGAAACCTTGTCTCAAAAAAAATAAAACAAAGAAAAAAAGAAAGAAAGAAAGAGAGAGAGAGAGAGAGAGAGAGAGAGGGAGGGAGGGAG